GCTTATCGGATGTAATTTCCTAACCATGTTTCAACTGGACATGATCATGATTTCTAATTTTCATTGGCAGTTCTTTTGGGCTGCTCAAGTTCGCGGGGCACCATGGTGGATCGCACCGTCACCGTCTATTCCGATGCTGACCACACCCCCGATTTGCCTCTGCGGCAGATCTTTGGTCGACAAAGGGTGCCCACTGACTTGTGCAAGGTCGTGGCCGATGCTGGCCTGCTCACGGTCGAAACGTTCGCCATGCTCGGCGACACCATTGCGGCAGTCAAGCAGACTGTCAAGACCATGATCGGTGATGACACCAAGCTCGGTGCTGATCTGCCGCGGCAAGAGCTCTCGCTGACCTCTCTGGCGGCGGTGTGGCGGACCTGCTCCACCATGCAGGAACATTTTGCCGCTCGCAGAGCCAAGATGGAGGAAGATCCCAACAAAGTCCCGGAAATCCCGGGCGAGGATCACGCGGAGTTCCGCCAGCAGTTCATTGCCCGCCACCCGGATGTTGTTCTTCCTCACCATCGTGAACCACACCGGAAGTTCGTGGAGCGCTTGCAGCGCGACTTCATGGTTCATGGAGCCGTCAACTTCTACGAAGTAGGCGAGATGCGTACGCGCAATGAGCAGATCGCTCAGAAATCTGGCATCAGCAGGAGCGCCGAAGACTTGCTCAAGGTGGTGCAGGTTGATCAGCCTGTTCATATGGTCTCCGAGTCTCAGGTGATGGACAAGCTCCACGCATTCTTTGTCGCCTTGGAGTACCTCAACATCTGCGAGTTCTCGTACAAAGCTGGTCCTTTGCAGTACTTGTCCGATCTGACTGGAGGAATGGCGCCACGAGAACCGTGGTCTGGCTTTGCTGCTCGCTGTGGACTCTTTGATCAGGAAGAAGGTCTATCGCCTCAACTCCGACCACAAGCAGAAGTACACCACTTTCTCCTCAGCTCTGCTCGAAGTGCTCCAGCACCACAAGCAGTTGTGGAATGATGCCCGCTCGGGAGCGGAGCTGGACAAGTTCAAACAAGCTCATCACTCTTCTTCTCCGGCGACACCCCCAAAGTCTCGGAAGCGCTCTCGTTCCCGCTCGGGTACTCCGCCCAAGCCAACGGCCAAGGCTCGCAAGAACAAGCAGCGCCGGCAGCGCCTCAAGGAGCAGCTCCGTTCCCTGAAGACATCCTCCGGGGAGCCCATGGCCAAGGCTGAGCTCAAGGCCAAGCCGACTCGTGACGCCCGCATACCGGCTGATGAATGGGCCAAAGTCAATTCGTTCAAGTACAGTGGCCCAAACGGTGCCCGTTCTTCAACTGCTCCAGCGGGTGTCGCTTCGGGGATCAGTGCAAGCACAAACATATCTGTGTCGAGTGTGGCAAGAGCCACTCCTGGCACGGTATAACCACTGAACCGATCGGCCATCAACCTCGGGGGTCTTGACCCCGCCTCCGGGGGACTTTGGGGGTCATGCTCTGTGTCACAATGAGGCAGAGATCGCTTCTATGGGGTCTCAGCTGACAGGCACAGTAGCTGCTCGCCCGCAGTGGTTGTCTTGGAAAGATGTTCCGCGAGACCCTCAACTGGTGCGCTCGCATGGACCTTGGTTCCTTGAAGTGTTCTCGGGCACCGCTCGGTTAACTACGTATGTGGCCTCGCTGGGTGTTCCTGTTCTGCCTCCGGTGGACATTGAGTGCTCGGAGATGGTGCCGCCTGCCGTGGACGTCCTCGACCTGGAGCTCTGGGAGTGCATCATGCAGCTCGCGCACGTCGGTGCCTTGTTCTTTGTGCATTTGGGGACTCCTTGCAATTCTTTTTCCTCGGCTCGGAAACTGGATGGCGGTCCTCCGCCCCTCCGTTCACAGCAGGCTCCTATGGGGTTGCCTCTGCTCTCTGAGACCAACCAGGCTATCCTTTTCAAGGGCAATATGTTCATGCTTCGGTCTGTGGAACTCGCCCTGGTCGTCTGTCTGGTGGGAGGAGATTTCTCGATCGAGAACCCCCTCCTCAGCTTGTTGTGGGCAACCCCGCCGATGATCGAACTGGCCCCAATAGCTCGCTGTTTCGACGTGGACTTTGATCAGTGCGTCTATGGGGCTCCTTCGGTCAAGCCCACCCGGCTCCGGGTCACCTCACAGATCTTTGAGGCCCTGAAGGTCTCGTGTCCTGGCACTCATGTGCATGAGCAACTCCGGGGCCAGATCTGAGATGAACGCGGTGGTCGCTTTGTGTTCCGGACCAAGCTCGCGCAGGAGTATCCCTACGCCCTTTGTGCTTCCATGGCCTTGTTGGTTCATCAACTCTGGGTCGCGGATCTGCCCCAATTCATCGAGCTGACCACTGCGGTCCATTGGGTCAGCTTTCCGTGTGGCAGGGACATCGCCAGGAGGATTCTGCTCGGAACGCCTTGCTGTCAGGTTATCAGCTCAAACGAGGCGCTCTCAAACCTTTGCTGGAAGTGGAGTTGGAACCTGGTCAGGCTGTGCAGTGGGCTCTCCAGGTGGTACACCCTTTCACGGTCCAGCTCGACGTGGAACCGTCACTTCAGGCGGCACTGCGCGCATTGGCGCTCGACCCTGCGGCAGCCGTGGCTCGTCGCCTGGAAGCGCTCGCATGGTGGGAAGCAGAAGCTCATCGTTTGCTGCCGGTGTCCTTGGCTCGCATTGCTGCGCAGCCGGACCCTGACCTGCGCGCCTTGCTGCGCGGTTGTTCTGAACATGAGAGACCATTGTTGGGGCAGGTGTGCCATGTCGCTCTCTACGAGGCCATGCTCAATGCCGTGCGCTCAGTTGATGCCAAGCTCGTCGATGATTTGTTGCACAGGTTCCCCATTGTTGGTGAGATCCATGCTTCTGGGCGCTGGCCGCCTTACACTAAGCCTCAGCTGGCTCTCCCTGTTCGAGACGCTCTCGCGAGGGCCTGGGACATCCGCAAGAAGATCGTGCAGCGAGTGGAAGCAGTTCCAACTTCAGAGAACCTGCAGAAGATCTGGGACGCAACGATGGAGGACTGTTCAGAAGGGTCATGTAAAGGGCCATGGTTCTCTGAAAAAGAGGTCTCAGAATTTTTAGGTTGTGAAGATTGGATTCCAACCCAAAGATTTGAAGTAGTTCAAAAGAATAAAGTTCGGGGCTGCGACAGTGCCACCACTAACATGATCAACCAAGTTACCAAGATCTCTGAGAAGCTCCAGCTGCCATCAACAGACTCCAACGTGGAAGCTCTGAGATTGCTGAGATCATTGGCGCCGCTCGGCAACTTTGCAGGCTGGGTCCTAAATGACAGAAAGGCGTACAGGCAGATCGCCGTCAAGCCTGACCAAAGAAAGTTCTCAGTGATCTGTTTGAAAGACCCTAAGTCTGCTCGACCGGCTTTCTTTGTCATGATTGGGCATTCGTTTGGACTGGTCTCTGCCGTTTACAATTATAATAGGAGATCAGCAGCTGTGAACGAAACATTGGTCAAGTTGTTTGGGTTGGTCGCTTTCAGCTTTTATGATGACAAATATGGTTTTGAGCTCGAATCCACGGTCGCTAGTGCTCGCCTCGCAGCTGAGTGCGTGCACACTTGGTTAGGGGCTAGGTATGATCAGAAGAAACTCCAGTTGTCTGACGCTCCGACCATTTTAGGGGTGACCTACAACTTGAAGGAGATGCAGCTCGAAATCAAACCAGATCGGAAGGAAGAGCTCTCAGGTGAAATCCAGTCGGTCCTGGACAACAATGCGTTGGATCCCAGGACTGCTGGCAAGCTCAAAGGCAAGCTCATGTTTGGTGCTTCGCAGCTCTGGGGCAAAGTTGGACGAGCTTTCCTGAGAGTGATTTCAGAGCGCCAGTACATGAAATTTCCGATCGGACCGAAGTTCGGGTTGGACAAACCGCTCAATCTCGCGCTCTCTCAATGGCTGAAACTAGTCAATGAGGGTCCTCCGAGAACGATCGATAGGCAAGTGCAGAAGAAGTCCGACTGTGTCATCTTTACAGACGGATTCACTCCCGACCCACGGACACCTGCAAGTGATCGTTTGCCTGATCGTGTTGGAGCCGTTTTGTTCGACCGGAGGCTTTGTAGACCTGTTCATTTCACTTCCGTAGTACCTAATTCGGTGAGTAAGCTCTGGTTGCCGAGGTCGACCCAGATCATACCGATCGAGATGCTTGCTCCCATTTTGGCCCTTAAAACGTTCGCTGATCGTTTAAACAGCTCGGACGTCATCATTTTAATCGACTCCGAAGTTGTCGAAGCCGCGCTCGTGAAGGGCTATTCTAGCAAAGAAGACGTCTGCTCCCTGATCTCAGTCTTTTGGGATCTAGCTCTGGAGCTTAGGTGTAAGATCTTCATCGATCGAGTTTCTACTGACGCCAATCCGGCGGACTGGCCGTCCAGAAATGATCTGGCTCGTGGTGAGGCCGCTGGTTGGACGACGATTGAAGCTCAATGGCCAGCTCTGCTGACTCCTCGTTCTGGGCCTGGGAGTGATCACGCATGCATAAGAGTCGAGATAGTTCCCTGCAGCCTGTTTTTGTTTTGATCTTGGTGTGAACAATCTTGATTTGTTGAATTCACTGGCTGGGTCGCTCGATTCTGTTGCTGCTCAATCCAAGCATTTCTCTGATCGCTCAACCCCATGCCTAGAGCGATTCCAAAAAGGAGTGAGCGCTGTTCAA